TTATGTGGTGAAGGTAAAGGTGGTGGTGGGCGATTGTAGTGGTAGCCAGCGATGGTTATCGTGGTGGAGACAGTTGTATTAGTGGAGGTGGCCAGTGGTAGTTGATGGTGGTCACAACGGCGTCGATGATAGGTGATGGTGACCACTAAAACAAATATCATGTTAAGATAATATCAAATGAGAATAGATTAGTAATTTTTAATTTTCTGTCTCATCCTTGGTGGAACAAAAAAAATCATTTTTGTCCCACCAGTTCCCAATCTTTGTTCTTGTCTCATGTCACGCCAAACATGAGACAATGAGTTTTTGATATGTCTCATGTCATACCGAACACAAGGCAACGAATTTTGTCTTGTCATGTTTTACTGGTAAAACGCAGCGATAAAGCCAATTTTCCGTCCCTCTTAGCTTTATTGACATGTAGATATCAAAACTATCGTACTCCAACGATTACTCGTTGAGATAATCAGATAATTGTTGACGTAGATAATCGTGCTTAATTAGCACTAAATTATTAATATTAAAAACAAAGTCAAAAGGCAAATAGTGAAAATGCCAGTTGGTGTTGTTCCCTACCATGCATCTACTAATCCCTATTCAATGTATAATAATTTTTTATTAACTAACATTAATCACCTCTTAAGCCTTTCTTGTCTTTATACTATCAGAGTTAAAAGAGTTTTCTTAATAATCAGATATCTAACTTAACCAATTCAGATGATATCTGTGTAAAACAATATTCTAACCGAAAAAGAGCTTAATTTAATCAGACATAATCCTTAACGGATGAAATATGTGAAAATATAACTTTTCAAATAACTATTCAATTATTTTTATTTTTTTAGTTTTTAGTTGTAAGATCCCACGTTGGTTAGGGAGGTGAACTAAGATTGCCTTATAAGGGAAGGGACTAGATACCTACTTTTATCATACGCGTTTTAAAATTGCGAGTCCATGTATCAACAAAGCAGACAATATCTAGTACAGTTGGTCTTGAATGTTACAGATAGTATAAAAAATATAAATTTTTTATTAAGATCAAAAAGCTTATTCATTAGACCAATCCATAAAACGAAGGTATTCCAGCACTTGGTTGTCTGTCCAATTAAAACTTGATTGGATTAATTAAACGTAAACATATGGTTTAATTAAAAAACTAATGGCTGCCATTAGTAATGATTTGTAGTGGGGTATGACTATTCATGGATTGAATCGCACGTACTCATTAATTCTTTTTTAAATTAAAAAAATATCTAGTTGGATTCTTCTTAAGGAGGTATTTGGAATTGCTTATAAAAACAACTTATTGACTTATTTCGGTGTAACATCGGTAATAAGTATTTTTGAATGTTTGGATAAAGAGTTTATACCGGTGTCAAATCGGTAATAAGGAGTTTTTGAAAAAGTTAAACAATTCTAACTTATAATAAAGTGATAAGATTTTTTTGTGGAAAATCATAAGTTGTTTCATATAAGCAATCCCAAACACCTCGATAATTTTTTTATAGTAATTCGAAAAACATGAGTATAAATCAATATTTTATGTGTTGTTTATCAAACATTTATCGGATAAGCGTTTATTGATCTTATCGACTGATAAACATGACAATGAATGAAAATCTTACATGATAACAGACGTAACGGAACAAAAATCTTATCCAATAAGTAAGAGAAAATAAAACTAAATAAAAGACGTTTTAATAGCAATATTTTATGTAAGAAAGATGACTCTTGTCGATAAACAATATCGTTAATTAAATTTTGATTGTGTACTTGGTTATGGTTTTTTTTCCTATTGATTTCCACGTGGCCCAATCAAGATTGTCTCTAAATCGTTGAAATATATGACGTCATTATTCAAAATTTCATGTTTTTATATTCTATGAAAATATCTATTAGTTAATATCACAAAAAATATTTTAGGTTCCGTTTATCTGAATATTTATTCGGTAAGTGCTTATCATTAGGAGTCAATACTATAATTTATTTTATCGGGTAAAATTGTAATACATCGAAATGGTATCGTATGCAACAATTTACTCGGTAAACGCTTACCCGGGTAAAAGTCGTCACCCTCACTTACCGAGTAAGACTTTCCATCTTTATCATTGTTTTTATCGGGTAAGATTTTTGACCATTGTCATGTTCATCTAATAAGAAAGATTACCCGGTAAACACTTACCGTGTAAGCGTTTAGTAAACGGCTCATTATTCTGAAAATTTTATTACGTTTTTTTCTTAATGATTTGTGGGGTTGAAACTTGACGCCCTCAACTTCCTTTGACGATTGTTTCGAAATCAAACTTCTCGTAACCGGTCCTAGTTTCAACCAAAAACCCAAGGTCCGGTTAAGGTTTCTTGTAATTGGTTATAAATTTGATTTTCTTTACGTAATTCTTTTTGAAGTTTTTTTTAAAGAAATACAAAAGTGTTATTATGATACATTTGTAAATATGTAATTGAGTCAAGTAAATACAAGAACTGTGAACGTTTGTGAGATGACATCTTCCCCCCAGGGGAGATGAGACAAAAAGGGTCAAAAAGGGGGAAAAACAGTCATATGGCCATGGGTATCAGTAATAAACGACAATGTTTTTGAAAAATCGGGTCATTCCTTGGCCAGGCCCATAATTGGTTCCGAATCGGACCGAACCTTCTTTTCTGAAAAAAATTGTATCCGATCCCAGGCCCGACTGATCCCAAACCAGTCCCAGGCCCGAATGATCCCAAATCGGTCACGATCACCGTCTTCCACCGATGACAGGTTGGACCGAGTCCATTTCGCCATCTCTATTACTAATTATGAATTCGAAAGTACGTGGGCTATGTTAGCTTATTGGGCTTCCACTTTCATGAGGCCCACTATATTCTTCACTTCATTAATTATGTTCGATTTTTACTTCTTCATTCAGTTGTTAAAACAATATTTTTTTTATTTAATTTTTTAGCAAACAACAATGAAATTTGAGTAAATTAATAAGTTATTATGTATATTTTATATTTAGTACTTTTATTTTAAACATATTTTATAATAAAAAAAGTGGTTTGTAAGTATTTGATAGGAAATACAATTATATGTATTTCCATTTTAAATAATTAATAATATGGTGTCATGTTTTTTTCCGACGTCAATCTTAAATAATTTATCATATATTTATATCGTAATTGAAAATTAAGACTCGTTTGGTTTGTAAGATTGGATATGATTTTGAGGGATCTGCAATTCGATTCCATTCCAACAAATGTATGATTTGAGTGATTGCATGGATTTGAAATACGGGAATTTCATCGAAATCCAATAGGGATAGTTGATATTTCACGGAATTTCATAAGATTTGTTTGTAATAATGTTTTAAAATATATTAAAAACACTTGTTTTGTAATAACAAAAAAAAATAATTTAAGTATTTATAAATAAGGGATTCAATTCCATTTCAAATCTTACAACAAAACACGCCAAAGATTTCGAAGAAATTCAAATCCGTCAAAACCGTTTCGTCAAACCAGACGTGTTGAGAATTTCAAGCAATATTTGAAATCTTGAGTCATTAGGCCCATTACTAAACATGTATAATGGGCTTTAAAAGCCCGGCCCGAGACTAAGGTCATCTAAAGACCATATTTGAAAAGCCCATTTACTCTAATAAAGTTTCAAGTCCAATTAGTCAAAAAGTTGATCCCGTTTTTGGTCCTCAATTTTGATTAAGAGGATATTTGTTTACCTATTAATAGTTCCATTAAGAGATAACTCTTGAATCGTTAAAAAGTGAATCTTGTTTGACAAAAAAAATTTGTCTCTTAATGATTTTAAAATTTTTTCTAAATGATTTGTATCATGGGTCTCATTTCACCATTCAGCGTCATAATTTCATTGTAAATAATTATCAAACAATTATATTTTAATTTTATACTATATCATAAGAGTCTTTTAATCATCCTGTACAAAAACCATTCAACAACTACCAAACAGCCCCTAAGCTTTAATTAGGATTGGTAATTATAAGACTGATTTATTTGGTTTGTTATTTTTTCCCACAATGTGTCAGATTGTGCCATAATGTGGCACAATGCAAGTCAAACCTTAGAGTTGAGCCATAGGGGGTTAACGAAGCAGTGATCCAAGCCTTGACGTCATAACGAGTTATTTAAAACTACGCCAACAACTATGATAAATGGTATTCTAAAATAGAGAAAACAAGAGAGAGAGACTCCGTAAATTTTAAAATTTATAATATTTTTAGAACTCTATAGAAGATAAAGAAACAATATTTTAATTATTTCTCGTCAATAAGAGATATTGAAAATAAATATGCATAAGAGATAAATAATATTTATTAAATATACTGAATATTTTATTAATATAGTTAATGTTAGAATTGCTAAAATATAATAATCCTTAGAGTGATGCAATTTCTTATAGAAGATTTTGACTTTTCATACTCTATTATAGAAAAAAAAATATAGTATGGCTGTTGGAGATGCTCTTATAAACCCAAATTAAAAACAAACTTTATGTATCAACGATCCAACACCCTTAAAAAGTACAATCTTAAATAATTTCAATTAATTATTGCATGTCAGACGTCCGTAATTAAAACCAACAGTTGAATTTCACAAATTTAACCAATCAAAATCGAACTCAATAATTACTAAAAATAACAAATTGAACGATCAATTCGGTATCGTTTTCATCTGAAAATTTCCACACGATTTTATGTATCAAGAATTAAACATCTTTACACGATTTTTTCAACCAATTATTACATATTATAATTCATTGCTTAAATTTCATGAATTTAACCGATCAAAATCCAATCTTGATAACTACCCAAAAAAAGAAAGAAAGATTAGTTGATGAATTTTCATGATTTCTTGATAAAAGCAAAACATGCTTCTAAGTCTAGAGTTGCCATAAATGTGTAGTTAATTCAAATTTATTTTGGGTTCCTCTTAAAAAATGAACCCCACAAAGCTCCCACTCTCTGTACATCAATTTGATAATGGTGGACGGATTCAGATTTTGATTTTAGACAGAGTCTTGTTGTCCATTGACTTTTGGTGTGGCTGCCTGTCTACTTACTACCTTCAACTGCTCCGATTCTTCGATACAAGAAAGGAAACGAAACAACTGAGAAAAACCCTACTCGTTTTTTCTTCATCGTCTCTGATTTTTTGGAAGGTTTTGTTGTGTAGCGATTATGTCAATCGAATCCGGAATTTAGGGTTCTTTGATAATCCCTTCGATAAGTAAGAAATGGGTTGGAAGAATCCGTTTAAGGAAGTGACGAATTCAAAGCCATTGTTCTTGACGGTATATGGTACTGTGTTGATTGGAATCCTCTTCTCTGCCATTTATGTCTTCTCCGCGGTTTATACTCCTGATTCCGCCTTCTCTTGGGGACTCTCTCAACGTATCTCTCTTCCTTTTTCTCTGTCAATATACTTGCACTGATCTATATATATACATATATGTGTGTATGTGTGTATGCATTATATACTGAAGACATGATAACAGTGCATTTTCTTGAACTCTCTATGTTTTCTTTTGTTGGAATTTCAGTTGTCATTTGAATTTTAGAATAAAGTCAACGAATTGGGGTTGATTTCTAGCTTCTTTTGGGATCAAATTCTTGTTGAATTAGGTATCTGCTGGATTGGGTAAGAATTTAGACGTTGATGGAAGCTTAACTAAAGAGACCAATTATCTTAGTGTTCATCTGGGGGGTTAAACTATTTGGATATTGATGAGGATAATATAGACATCAAGTGTTTGGTTCCAACAATTGTGAGTGGTGCATCAATGAGAGGCACAGAAGTTATATCAACCCCGGTTTTCTTTATCTGATTTGACATATATATATATATATATATGTATGTATGTATGTATATTTCCCTTTTTATACAATGTTATTGTGAATGTTTCTTAGGCTCCATTGGGAGCTTGGATCGTATTTCGTTTTCATGTGCACTCTCTCCAAGATTTCTTGAAAACCATCCTTAGTTTTGATCTATTGCTATTGTATGAAACACATTCGCAGCTTGCAATTGTAATTGAAGCTCTTTTAATTCAAATGTTGAACTAATGTCGCCCCAAATGTTGGAATTTCAGACCATGCCATTAGAGTTCACTTTACGATGCATAGTTTATTGGCACTTAGCAGAGAGCAAGACTCTGGTTTGAAGTCTAGAAGTTGTTTGAAATATTAACCTTGATAGCTTTATAGATTACCATTTTAACGGTTGATGGGTGTTTAAGACAAGGAGAACCTCGATATGTTAATTAAAACCGATACTTTGTTTATTATTATTATGTTCAAAATTTAAACATGTCTTCTCGTTTCATGTGTAGATGTGGCACCTTCTTCCCCAAATCAAAGTCTTGATTCTTATCCACTAAGAGTGGGTGGTGGTTTAATGGCACCTATGCCTCAGCCCCATGGAGGGAAATTAAAGCCCATTTGGGAAATTCCCCCACCGGGTTCAAAGATTCCCCCATTAGAGACATTTCGTTTAACAAAAGAATTGGTTCAAGAAAGGGTGAAGGATAACGTTATAGTAGCAACCTTTGGTAACTATGCCTTCATGGATTTTATCCTCACGTGGGTTAAACACTTGACTGATTTGGGCGTGGAGAATCTTCTTGTTGGTGAGTTGTTTTTGCATCCTGCCACAGACTAAATGAAGTTTTTAAACCCATTTTCCGAAGACCTAAAGAAACCCGAACTATTTCTTTTCAGGTGCAATGGACACAAAACTATTGGAGGCTTTGTATTGGAAGGGTGTGCCGGTTTTTGATATGGGAAGCCATATGAGTACAATAGATGTTGGATGGGGCTCACCAACGTTTCATAAAATGGGAAGGGAAAAGGTCATTCTCATTGATTCAATGCTACCTTTTGGTTACGAATTACTCATGTGTGATACTGACATGGTCTGGTTAAAGGTATCTTCTTTCGACCCGTTTTTCCTTTATAATTTTCATCATCAGTTTCTTCTCTCTTTGCTTCTCGTCGTCACAAAATGCTTTCTAAAATCTGCCGCGTTTCTTGAACAGAATCCACTCCCATATCTTGCACGATATCCTGAAGCAGATGTGTTGACGTCAACCGATCAAGTTACACCAACAGTTTCTGATGACCGCTTAGACATCTGGCAACAAGGTGAAAATTGTGTAATCTAGCTTCTGTCAAACTTAGGAGATAAATGTTGCGGATTAATATACAATCATTCTTGAATCACACTAATTGACAAATGTTTGGAGAAAACAGTCGGTGCTGCATATAATATAGGTATTTTTCACTGGCGGCCATCTGATTCTGCAAAAAAGTTGGCAAAAGAATGGAAAGATTTGCTTTTAGCCGATGATAAGATATGGGATCAGAACGGTTTCAATGATCTCATGCACAGGCAACTGGGACCGTCTGTCGATGAGGAAAGTGGACTTGTTTATGCTTATGATGGAAGCCTAAAGCTTGGACTTTTGCCTGCAAGTATATTTTGTAGCGGACATACTTATTTTGTTCAGGTAAGGGCGGGCCATCAGGTTGCTGGTTGCAATGCCTTAACTTTTCCTTAACTGATTTGATTTGATTTGATTTACGTACTTTAAGTTATTTGGCATTTTTTAAGTCATCATGCTGCATTTGCAGGCCATGTATCAACAACTCAGATTGGAGCCTTATGCTGTGCATACCACATTCCAGTATGCAGGAACGGAAGGAAAGCGTCACCGGTTACGTGAAGCTATGGTTTTTTATGATCCACCGGAATATTATGATTCACCAGGTATATATTGCATCTTATCCGTACAAGTTAACTTGTTTCTTATGACACTTATTTTAACTTTCGGATATTCATGTTACAATATTTTATATACACTGCAGTTAGATTCTAGTTACGATTTTAAGCTGCGTGCGTGTTTTACAGGAGGCTTCTTGACATTCAAGCCATCTATTCCCAAAAACTTATTACTTGATGGGGAACATAATCTTCAAACACATTTCACCCTTGTTAATTATCAAGTATGCATGCACGAACGTATCTCTTCCTCTTGCCTCTTCTGTTTCCAATCTTATAATTCGAGTCTTGGCCTTTTGTACCTTCTAGTTTGATTTATGTGAGTGGATTTCAGATAAAGCAAATAAGGACTGCGCTTGCCATAGCATCAATCTTGAATCGCACATTGGTGAGAAACATTTACTTTGATTCACGTACATTTGATAGTACAACGTCTTCAAAAGACGATAAACAGCCAAGGACATAAATATTTCTTACCAATTTGCAATTTTTTAGGTTATGCCTCCATTGTGGTGTAGATTGGATAGATTATGGTTTCCACATCCGGGAGTTCTCATAGGGTCAATGACAAGACAACCCTTCATCTGTCCTTTGGATCACGTATTTGAGGTACGTCTCGTGTTGCAAATTTCGTTCTGAAAAGGCTGCACCGAATAACTTCAATTACTTGTTTGAAAAAGCATTCTTTCTGCACAAATGGTAGATCTTTCTTTAGAAGTGAGATTAGCATCCAGGATCTTTGCAATATGCTGTAACATATACGGTGGATTTAGTTAACAGAAACAAGTGCGGTTCTGCAGGTGCATACGATGTTAAAGGCACTGCCCGAGGAGGAATTTGGTCCTGGAATCGGTATAAGAGAGTATTCTTTATTTGAAAACCCATTGATGCCTGCACAGGTATGCATGCTGATTGCTGATCTTCATTTGGGGTACTTCTTTAGTTGACTTTGACCCGACATTATCTTTCTACGATTGCGTGCTTTCAGGTGAAGGAATCATGGCTCGATGTACAACTATGTCAAGGAGGGTCAGAAAATTGCCAATCAAACAGTACAAACACAAGACTACTCAGATTTCCAAGGCATAGCAATGAAGAAACGGTATGCAAGATAAATGAAAAAGCTTATGATCGTTTTCCCTTATCTTTTTTTAGTTAAATTAGGGTTTAGGGTTTATTTGTTCACACCATTTTCCATTTCTCCACTTATACTTTCGTATGTAGCCGATTGATCACCATGAAATTTCCTTAGGTCCCGTCCGGTGTTGTAGGATTTGGAGGGATTTGGAATTCAAAGCCATTCCACTCCCATGTTTGGTTTGAAGGATTGCTTGGATTTGAAATCCCGAGATTTCCTTGAAATCCCACAAACATGGGATTTAGAAATCCTATGTGGGTTGTTGGTATTTCACGGGATTTCGTAAGATTTGTTTGTAATAATGTTTTAAAATATGTTGAAAATTTTGTTTTATAATAAAAAGGTAATTTAATTATTTTTATAATTATCTATTTATTTATTTTTACAAATTACTTACAAAAGTTGGAATTCAATTCCATTCCAAATCCAACACACCAAAAATTCCAAATCCCTTCCACGAAATCCAAATCTCTCAAAACCATTCCATTAAATCAAACGCCCCGTTAGAGCCAGTTTGGTTTGCGGGGATTTGGAATTGGATTCCATTCCAATCTCGCGTTTGGTTTAAAGGAAAGTCCGGAATTGAGATCCCGGGAGTTCAAGGAGGTGAATCGTCAGGACCTTTTATTAGCGTAAAAAGGTTTTTATGGCCCACCCACTATATGAAAACGTTAAAAAATAAGTATCCATATTTCTATTTTTGTTATCTCAGAAGAAGTGTCCACTTTCAAAAGTAAGTGCATATCTTCCAATTCTACCCTTAGTTACGGGAGGCCTCAATTATTAAGATTTAAGGGTAAAATTGTCATTTAGTTAATTAAAAAGTGTAATTATTACGCATTTCTAAAATTGTGTGCCTTTTTTCATTGTGGACATTTATTTGGGACGGAGGGAGTAGTAAAAAAGGAGAAAATGTTACGAGCAAGCAGACCTTATGAAATCAGTTGTCGATAGAAGAGGGTATCCCATTAGGTCGAGGTCACGTTATGTGCGCTCTCATAACGACTAATTTGGTATAAACGCCGAGTGATTCATTGGATTTGCTATATGATTACTACTATTTTCTGATGATAATTATTTTGCCTGCTTGGAATTTCAACCTCACTGTGATCGGTTTGTTTGATGCTGAACAGTTCAAAACAGTATTCTCCCCATTGAAAGATGTCAAAGTCATCCAGTTTTCATCAATGCAAGATGCCTTCCTAGGATTCACCGATAAGGCAAGCAATCCGTTTTCCCTTCCTTCTAGTTTCTCTCGACTATCCATCTCGTAAAAATCGCAACACGTTTCTATTTTGGATAAACCAAGCATACTCGGTATATCCCACTCGGAAGTAGGATTTGCGATATTCCATGCAACTTCCAAAAAGTATCTAGAAACTTCTTAATTCCCCTATTTTGTCGTTATTGAGTAGTATTTTCGATATCTAGCATGAAATGCACAAAGTGATCATCCACGCATATTAATGAAGGTGTTCGTTCACTTGTTATCGTACCATGGGTGCCTTGTGCACACCTCAACTGATACCAGGGTCCCTGGAGAATAGTAGGACTTTGGTGGGGTGACCTCTGAGGAGGGATCCTCAAGCCTTATTGTCAGTTGAGCTAACCCTACAAGGTTATTTTTGCATTAGGTTAACCTCATGAAAAGACGGGGAGAACAATTTCTTCGCTTCTTTTCCAAATTAGGGTGGAACTTCTAGGGAAAGACGCATCTTTCTATTGACAATTATGGGGGCAAATTCGTCATTATAGCTTAAAAGTTTACTAGGGGAAAGATTGCAACGTGGCGTGTAAGGCTTAAGGCTTGACCTTGCTGCTACGCCATGCCACGCATCATACACTAGAGGGTTAGATTCTTAGAGTCAGTTTTATAGGTCATTCAGCTAAGTATCCCGTCTTTCTACCTCTAGAGGCAGAGGAAAGGTCTGTATACATCTAGCCCTTTTCAGACTCTACCTCCGGATGAGATATACTGAGCTTGTTTGGTTTAGTTCAAGACAGAAGTCCCTCATATTTAAATTATGCAAGTTTTACATGATTTTTTGGAATGAGCATCTCATCATAACTTTTTGATGTGGACAGACAAGGGAAGAAAAATTCAGGAACCGGGTAAAGCGATATGTCGGAATATGGTGTTGTGTCGACAAACACACTCCAGGTCACATATACTACGACATGTTTTGGGACGAGAAGCCCGATTGGAAGCCTCTCCCTCCCCAAACCCCAGAAGACGATCACCCTCATTGGTGATCATGATCATAAGCAAACAACCAAGATTTTACGGGATATCTGACGAATCTCTGACGTATAATCGAGTCCTTACCAATGGTTCAAATCAACGAGACTTGTGATCCATGGTTATGGTACTGTACTTTCGTGTATACAAAGAGCAAAGGGTCGTTGAGTGATATTGGGGCTCGGTTTTGAACAATAATGTTATACTGACTTGTACCTCGCACATTGAAAGTTGCGTTTTGTTCGATGATTTTTATTGGTTTCAATAGAGAAAGGTTTAGCTTTTGTTCTTATGTGCAACAAACAAGTGAGCAAATGAAACCAGGAACAAGTAAAGCCTTTTGCATTTGATGTTCTTCACTGTTGTTTGAATCATCCCATAACACCATGTCCCAAATTTCCCGATCTGACCAATCATACGAAGACACAGTTATTTTATTTAATACGAATTTATTTAATTGGTTTTTATTTTCTCTCTGCTTATGCATATTCATGTAATTGGTGGACATAGATGGGATGGGGAAATCTGGGACAACAGAGTTTTATCCAATCTGATATATTCATACTCGAAATACAGAAATCTTGAATTTATTACCGTTACTTAAAGGAAAACTCAACGGACATTTTGTGGCTTACACAAGATTCGGGTGGTAGTGGTGAGGGGAAACTAAACGTTCGAAGAAAAATATGTTTCTTTAAATAGAAATGTCAAAACACATGAAAAGATCCTATAAATCCGTCGTTGTAGCATGTCAACCATGAAAAAGTTTTTCCATAAAAAATATTAGTGGTTTGTTGACCTTATATAGAAAGTTAAACGACTACGAATGAAGAAATAAATCCTCATCTTAAAAAGTTACTCATTTATTCTGATCTCGTAACGAGAAGGGGGTTCTGTAATTGATTGTGACTATGGCGAATCAACCTGATGCAAGTAGCGCAGGTGCCGGTGGAAATAATCCTTCATCAGGAGGAAACCCACCGTCAGCAGGACAACCTTTGCCAGGGGGATATCCTCCGTATGGAGAACATCCACCATCAACAGGGGGGAATCCTCCGTATGGAGAACATCCACCATCAAAAGGGGGAAATCCTCCCCATGGTGAACATTCCCCGTCAACAGGGCAACCTTCACCAGGGGTATATCCTCCACATGGAGACCATCCTTCTCAAGGGTATCCACAATCGGGGTACCCTCCACAAGAATACCCACAAGGTTATTCACCACAACAGTACCCGCAAGGATATCCTCCTCAACAAGGGTATCCGTCACAAGGGTACCCACAAGGATATCCTCCTCAACAAGGGTATCCACCACAAGGGTATCCTCCTCAACAAGGGTATCCACCACAAGGATATCCTCCTCAACAAGGATATCCGCCTCCACAAGGGTATCCTCAAGGATACCCACCATCTGGATATCCCCAAGGAGGTCCTCACGGTGCATACCCACCGTCAGGTTATCCTGGTGCATACCCACCGGCTGGTTACCCTGGTGCACACCCTCAAGGTGCTCATCCTGGCCAACATGGAGGTATCAGTGTCAACTTTACTTTGAGCTCCTTTTGTTTTTAAATATCAACTAAGATTAGTTAAGTATGAATTATGTTTTGTAGTTCCTTTAATCTTTCATGTGATATACACAGCACAAAAAGGAGAAAAAGGAGCTGGTGGCGTAATGGGAGTGATCGCGGGGGGAGCGGCAGCGTATGCAATGGGTCACTACGGACATGGGCATGGTCACGGTCACGGTTATGGTGGAAAATATAAACACGGAAAGCACAAGCACGGAAAATACAAGCGTGGGAAGTTTGGCAAGCACAAGGGTAAGGGAAAATTCAAGATTTGGAAGTAAAATTTCAGACGTCAAGGAGGTGTTGGAATTCTGAATGCCACTGATATAAAAACCGTTGTAGATATACATATGTTTTTACGCTTCATAAGCTTCTTTTGTTATCATGGTATTTTCGACCTAAATGTTGTAACATATTTAATGTCCTATTTATTCGTTTAGGTAATATATATATATATATATTTGATTTGTAAATTAGACGAGTTAACGACCCTTCGAGGGTAAGTAAGAAGTCGGGTTTACTTTACGAGAGATGAAATTTGACGACGAACATTGACTTACAAACAAACCAAGTCCAAAACCAAAATCTCATGTCGCCCGAATATAGTTTCTTTGGACGAGGCATTGATGGCTAACAAAGGAAAGCAACATTGATGTTCGTTATAATCTATAAATGGAAATAATACATTGAAAGCGATGGTCGTTTAGCATGTTTGACTCTCTCATTGACTATATTTGGATATTTTAATAATATAATTCATATTGTAATCTCCAAAATGGAGACGTTGTTGGAGATGAACATAAATTTTCTTTGGAGATCTTTGATTTTTGATTCTCCATTTCGGAGAATTTATTGGAGATGCTCTAATATGAACAAGTTGTGGTTATGAAGGCTCGAGATGTCTTGACGTATACCAGACTAAGTCCAACCTTTGGTCCATACCGGAACCGAGAAGATCAAGGTGCCCAAACTAAATGAGATGATTATAGTTGTCAAGGCGTAGACGTATGCTTGCCAAGGATGTTTGCTCTCTCTCATTGCTCCAAATTCGGCTATGAAAGTCGAAACAGTACTCAAGCAACCACACAAACCGAATTGTATGCCCGTTGCCACAATCCCAAAATGGTTGTTCGTCACCTGCATAATCATCGATGATAAAAAAACGTGTTAGTCGAGAAAATTGCAATGCAATTAGACGTTAACATATAGAGCCTAGATGTACGATTAAGTGCATCCTAGCCAACATGGGTCCAAAGTTTTCTAGCCTGTGTATGCACTATCGTTATGGTTTCCATTTTCATACGGATTTGGTCTCTCTCCATTAACTTTTGTACGTTATGTGAACATTCGTGTATGCATGCAGTCACCTTTGTTCGTGAGGGATGTTAAAGATGCAAAACCAAATAATGGAGACTTACAGCTTTCTTCATGGTTGCCATGGCTGCCATGATGCAGGCGGCAACTACGTTGGCAATTAGTGTCCCAAAAGGCATCCATTTAATCATCTCTGTCCTTCCTAAGCCTTGTCCATTGAGTCGTGCTAAATAGAATCTGATCCATACACCAATTGGTCCAATTATACACCCGAGCCACAAGTGACTTGTACTGCTATCATGGTCAAAATCCTTTGTTAACAATGCCACACTCACACCCCATAGCGACCCCAGCAATGTTATCATCACCACTATTAATATACTTTGACTCATAATCGTATTTACTACAGAGAATCCACACTTGGAACTTAGATTTGTTCTGTTAAAAGCCCATTTCAACCCCTTAGCTGTCTCAACCCCGAACATGAAAGAGTAAGCAACAAGGAACAGACCTGCACAGTAAAACCCCGAATGAAACAAACCATAGGGACACAGAACCTGCATTTATGTAAATTTGGTCACTGTATGTCGAATTACCAAGCAGAAATCCAAGTACAGCAAAAACCCAGTCACCGTCGGCACTAAGCTCAAGCATTTTCTGATTCCAGCCGCTAAATGTGGTGAGACTCCCCAAGTAACCTGTTGTCAACCCGACAGCTAACTCAGGGGAGAACTTGGATATATCTCCTTTATAAACGACGCCAAACCAACCCATCAAGAATGAACCAACCTTGAATATGAGACAAGGAGGAAAGAAAGAGTTATAAGATGCTTAAAGAATTTCTGCGAAACAAAGATTTTTGAAAGAAAGAGGTGATGCTATTACAGGGAGTAAAGAAACTGTACAAATTTTTGCAGGTAAAGTTAGGAGGAGAGAAAGAACGAAAAAAATGAGAAAATGATACCATATTGGGAGCAAGATCAACATACATATAGCTCTGGTCACTTGTGGCACCAACCACTTCAGGACCAAATAATTTTTCTAGTAGGTACCTTGTCAATACCTGCATAGAGGAAACAATTATGAGAAACAATGAAATGTTAAAATGTTAAATTGGCATACCCTCCATTTTTAGAAAGAGTGGCACATAGACTACTGTTGCTTAAAGGAGTACTTTTCAACATAAAATAATATTGACATGGGTTCTAATCTTTTGCCGGAAAGTTGCTTGCAGGAACTTTACATGAACCACTGATAGAACAATGATGGTGTTAAATTACTTACGATTTTGTTTCTTTCAAGTACTATATTAGACATTATAAATGAAAATGTAACGCCTTTGGAGCAGATAGGATATCAAAACCAGAATATCGAAACAGTACATATTCCAATAGTCGTAACAACAATGGACTTTGTTAGTCAATTATGACAGGGATCTAACCAAAGTTAGACTTGTACATGAGGAATATTAAAGAGGAAGCACCAAATCGCAAAACATAAAAGTTCAAACTTGAAGTGGAGGAATTTATCTTTTGCTGCAGGACTTACAAATATAAGGTGGTTTAGCATATTACCCCAAGAATGCCAAGTACAGCAAGATGAACACGAGATGAGATGTATGTCATGAACCATGGCAACTCTTTTTTGCACTCCTGCATATGAAAGTTCCCCACAAATTACCAACATGCATATGGAAGTGTCCCACAAATTACCAACATGCATAGAATGCAAGGTAAACTTACTTTATTCTGGCCTTGGTCATGTAATAATGTGTCTGGTGAAGCAGGAGATGCAGTTGGAAGCTGTGATTCTTTAAAAGGATGTTCTTGAATTGGGACTACCACATTTTCTCCATTATTATCGAAAGAGAATCTGGGCCTGCCACTCCCACTATACCTTTTACTATGAAGTGCCCTATCTCCAATATCTCCTGCCTCTGAGACGGATCGACAATCACTGTCATCATCAACTTCATGGTGGACAGCTCCTACTTGATTGAAAGAGTGCCTCCTGAAGGAAGAATTTGTACTGCTAATCCGACTAAAAGACCCACTTCTTCTTGGTTCAGAGCCATAATCCATTATGCTTCCTCAGAAGCCGTTGACACCTTTTTTCCTACTGCAATAGCTTTACAAGCATGCTGATTAATTTTTGATGCAAAATCCAAGTCATAAGTAACATGATAACAATAGGCTTACAGTTTACACATTTTAAAAACAAGGGCTAGTTAACTACTCCACTTATGAAAACCAACAAGAACAAAAATTCATAACAAGTGATGTCACCTGGCTGCAATGCTTAAAAATCTGAATAATCATTAACTAATGAAAAAAAAATTGTACTTGAGGCATCCCAGAACTTGAAAAGCCTTTTAAAGAATAGACTTTGAAACACACACACATAGGGCCCATAGATATAAAGGAACAAAATGATAAAGAGAAATACATTGGTTGATTGATTTATGAACAGATCAAAGATTGGTTTAATTAATGAGGATGATAAATTCTTATTCTGATCCAATGGAGATAGGTTTGTTTAATGAGTGACGCTTCTGATCCTTGTAATTTGTATGAATATGTGTTGGAATTTCATTTTCTCCAAGATCCAAAGCATGAGTCTATTCACATACCGAACATGTTTAATGCAAAACCAAACTAAACAAACCGAATAAATCCCAATTAGATGTAGGGTGTGGGGCAGGCTACATGCACAGTAATAACCAAATCAGTTTCTTAAAGCATCATTATAAGAAGCATTTTAATTGCCAAAAGGTTAAGTTGGGTTAGTGGTCAAGCATCATAATCAAGTTGTCTTGGACATAAAACATAAGTAGAAAAGTAATATGTAGTCCAATAAAAGAGCAAAAAGAAAAGAACATGTCAAGCAATCATATCCAATTTAACCAAATAATGACCACAAAAAGCCCCCATCAATCATAAAAATGGAAATCAACGACCATACACTTCGATTTCCAAAAATCCAATTCCATTACAGCACACATCTAAACCTAATTCGTAAAAAGCAAAAGAGACAGATCTGAATCGGATGTTATAATTTATAAACTTAGTAATTAGTAAAAACACTAATATAGGTATTCTCTACGCCATAGATTTCTGAAATTGCATCATAAAGCAAACTTTTCAATTGTCTTTTCTATAATTAAGTAATCAAACAAGAAATGGATCTGTTAGTGCGTTTACACATCAAGAATAAACAATCATTTAATAAAATTGTAAGCAACCACTACAATAACAGAACTGAAAATGAAAATACACCAAACAAATTTACGGAAGAAGTGAAAATTTCAAAGAGGTAGGGTGTGTATTCACCGTAATGAAGACGATAAGAGGAAATCCGATGAAGTTAACGGCGACCGGAGATGCCGTCGATTAGTGATTGTTGCTGGTTCACTTTTGTTTTTTTCCCATTGTTTTAATTAATGTGGCTCTCTTTCGCCTTTAAGGTTTCAAATCTGTTTGGTTGACTTTTCACGTGTTTTTTTATATAATATAATTTATTAGAACAGGAAGGGAACTCGTGCAATATAACGAAATACATTTCGATTTTAATGTTTGTTTTTTTTTTTTTTTTTGTCTTTGTCGATGTTATAATACGATTTTATTATCTTAAGAAAACAATAATTTTATTTTATTTTTGAATAAAATATAAATTTAAAATATATATATATCAATGTTAATATCGAATCAACTATTTAAAAGTT